GTGTTGGGGTGCCTCCAGGACCAGTGTTGGGAACCACTGACTTAGTGTATGATGCCCAATTGTTTTCAGAAAATCATGTAGTGTATTCCAGCCAACTGATCAGCTACTGATTTACCTGCTGCTCCAGACAAACCTTCGGCGATGGAGATCCCGAGCCGCTTCTCCTCTCCTTCCAGCAGCTTCCTGTAGGTGGCGATCTCAGCGTCCAGCTTCAGCTTGATGTGGAGCAGCTGCTGGTACTCGGCCAAGTATTTTCCCATCTCCACCTTGGTCTCGCACAGCTGGCTCTCTAGCTGGGCGATGATGTCCTCCAGACCGGCCGTCTTGTCCAGGTGTGCCTCCTCCATGTCCTCCAGCTGCTGCTCCAGCGCCGCGTTCCTCGCCCTCAGCCCGTCGATCTGGTTCTGCAGGTCCGTCACCTGGTTGTGGAAGCTGGTGATCTCCTCCTTCATGCCCTTCATCTGGTCCTCGTGTTTACCGGCCTGCTCCTTCAGAGTGTCGAATTTGCCCTTGTACCATTTCTCGGCCTCCTGGACGTTGCGAGCGGCCACCGCCTCGATCTCAGCGCGCATGCTGCGCAGGTAAGCGGCCAGATCCGGTCTGTCGGAGTCGAGCTCCACCGTCACCTTAGACTCCTCGATCTGCTTCAGGAGGTCGGCGACTTCCTCGTCGTGGAGCTTCTTCAGGAACTCGATCTCGGCCACCAGCTGCTCGATGCGCTTCTCCAGGTCGGCCTTCTGTAGCGTCGCGTTGTCGACGTCTTGACGGAACTCGCGGAGAATCATTTCAGCCTCCTCTGTGGAGTCAAGAATGAGTTCACGTAAAAATGGTGTCGATATAATATTACGTAAAGAGAATGCATTTGATTTAGTCATGCAGTAGACTCTTTAAAAATCTTCTTTATTGGCATTGACCCTCTTGTAAATGAGATTTAAAATCTCAAGAGTTTCATTTCTTGGTTAAATAAAGGTTTAAATTAAAAAAATATATATATATAAATTTATGGTTTCATGAAGAACCTTTAACTTCCTTGGAACCTGGAATGCCAACAGAGAACCTTAAATGGTCTTTCAAGAACTGTTCACTGAATGATTCTTTGAGGAACAAAAAATGGTGCAGAGTTTATACAGTTGAAGCCAACTTTGGTCACACTTTCT